CCCGCCTCAACCTCCCAAAGTGCTGGGATGACAGGCATGAGCCACCGCGCCTGGCCTAGTTCCTTAAGATTTTCATCATCTGGTGATTGTTAGTGAAGTTGTTCTGCATAGTTGAGCGCAGATACCCTGCACGCAGCATCCCTCGGCACACGGCGTCGATGCAAGGAACTCTGGTACCCTGACGTTCTCTTCACACTTTCTCTCTGTGTCTCAGGTTCTTTAGGATACAGAGACTGTTCCCGCCAGTCCCACAGATCAAAGACAAACTGAATGATAACCATGAAGTGGAAGACGAGGTAGGTAGAGGGCGGGCGGAGCGGTGACCTGGGATGGAAAGCGGGGAACGGGGAGGATGGGACATGGCCTCTGAATGTCGACTGTCTTGCTTCTCCACCAGCTTCGCCACGGGTGAGGTTGGAATCTGTATCCTGCTCCTGGGATTTCTCCCAGGTCAGGATCAGGGTCTCTCCCGGGTTGGAGTCAGGGTCCTCTCTGTGAGCTCCATCAGGAGAAATTGAGTCAGGCTAGTGGTCAAAACAAGGAAGAGAAGATGGTAGAGATGAGCCGGGGGCAGTGGCTCACGCCTGTCATCCCAGCACTTGGGGAAGTTGAGGCAGGTGGATCACGTGAGGCTAGAAGTTCGAGACCAGCCTGGCCAACATGGTGAAACCGTGTCTCTGCTAAAAATACAAAAAATTAGCCGGGCGAGGTGGCGCACGCCTGTAATCCCAGCTACTCGGGAGACTGAGGCAGGAGAATGGCTTGAACTCGGGAGGCAGAGGTTGCAGTGAGCTGCGATCGCACCACCGCACTCCAGCCTGGGTGACAGAGTGAGACTCCATCTCAAAAGAAAAAAGAAGGTAGAGAGGAGAGGCAGAAATAAAAAGACAAGAGACAGAGGCAGAGAAAGATGGAGAGAGATGGAGGAGAGAGAGAGGAACAAAGAAGGGAATGAGAAGGAGACACAAAAGAGAGGGAAGTCCAGGCAGACAGACTGACAGAGAAACAAAGGCAGACACACAGAGAGAGAAACAGAGAGAGGGAGGGAGAAAAGGGAGAAGGAAAGAGAGAGAGACGCAGAGAGGAACACAGAGACATACGAAGAGTAAAAGACAATCAGAGAGACAGAGATGGAGAAACAGAGACAGACAAACATAAAGAACAGGCCCACCCTTCCCCGGGCGCAGTGGCTCACACCTGTCATCCCAGCTGTTTGGGAGGCCGAGGCGGGCAGATCACTTGAGGTCGGGAGTTC